TCGATTCAGTGAATCACGAGTCACTGTGGAAGATAATGCCTGCAGATGGCGTCCCTGCTAAGTTGGTCAATATAGTGAGATTGCATTACACCCAAACGAAAACCAATATCCGTGCCTACGGCGAAGAGTCTCATCCCTTCGATCTGAGGTCGAGAGTAAGACAAGGCTGCCCGATATTGCCAGTATTGTTCAACTGTGCTGTTGATTGGATTCTGCGTCGGGCAATGGAGGGTTACTAAGGCGTCCAAGTTTCCGCGGATTGCTGGATTACTAACCTCGAATTCGCCCATGACTTGTTAGTTCTTGAAGAGGACCTGATCGCCTTGCAAACAGCTCTGAACCGTATCGAAAGATTTGCCTCTGATATCGGCCTTGAGATTAATCTTAACAAAACTATGTTTGCTACTCCACTTGATCAAGCGGAACATCCCCTGCAACTGGGTGGGCGGACAATAGAAATCGTATCGTATCGGAAGTATATTGGGTCTACTATCCTGCCTAATGGACAAGCCAAAGATGATGTAAAGCGGCGCATCGACACGGCCCGAACGGCGTTTCCGCAGCTCCGAACGACCCTAAGGCGCCGGAGGTGGATCAGTCTCGAAACTAAGCTCAGAGTGTTTGCCACAGCAGTTCGACTAGTCCTAATATACGGCTGCGAAACCTAGCCGCTAAGAGATGAGGATATCCGACGATTGGAGGTCTTCGATTTATCCTAAAACTAAACTGGTGGGCTAGAGTCTCAAACTCGGACCTCAGAAGTTGAAGCCGAGTTGCCCGTCTTTCAACGCACATACAATGCCGCTGACTGCAATGGTTGAGCCATATGCTCCGCAGACCCGAGGACACTTTTACAAGTATTGTCTTGGCTTCGACACCATGTCTTGGCTGGTGCCGCCGAAAAGGGAAGGTAAAAACACCTGGCTGGACATTGTATTACAAGACATCGATCAACGTGGCCTTCGGATGGTGTACGGTACTTACCAATGGAAAACAAACTGGATCAACATTCGCAAGGATCTTGCAGCCAACCGCCAAGCATGAATAATGGCCAGCCGTAGTAAAGTAAAGTAGGTAACTGTGTTTAGTCTGATACTTAATTAAAAAATTACCTGGAACCTGTAGCTAGATCGAACAGACTGATATATATTTTACACAGAATGTGAACGGTGCATAGGGATTGGGGCTAATTTGAGAGAGAGAAAGGAAATGAACAGAGTAAACGGACTAACTGATATCAACATTTAAGTAACCACTAACTGCGCTCCCAAGAATTTTGTTTAAGACATGAATGGTGAAAAAGGGCACTCTTGACGAACACCACCGCTGGGGTCGAACAGCCTACTTAGTTCGTTATAAGCCCTCACTCGACCAGAGGTATGTGAATACTGCGACCTCAATGAGTTAGTGGGTTGAAGGCTCCCGTTAGGTAGAGACAATCGTTGGTTGACGGTGTGTATGACATAGCTCGAGGACTTGACGCAGAGTAAAGATTTGGTCCATACTCGGTCGGAATCCTACTTCTTGTTTGCGGATATTTTTCTTCTTCAGGGGTATTGGACATCAAAGTATAATGGGGGACCGGAATCAAATCTATACCGCGATCGTTTACGCAGTCACTGTAAGATCCTTGTTGAAAATTGGAACGATCAGTGATTCGCTCCAAGATAATGAGATACACTCTTGTGACCAAATGTTACGTAGTCCATCTGTCATGGAGTCTACGATGTCATCACCAGTCCATTGCGAAAAGAGTGGGAGGAAGCCTGCCAGGTTTTACAGTTTTTCCTTTTTTTCAGGGCTCTGACACAGGGTCGAACTTCTGCTTCAGCCGGAGGTTCACAAGAAACTGCCCACGGAGCCTCAACTACAACAGACGAGATAGTCCGGTAAGCGCCTGGCCAGCTGAACTGTTCGTTGAAGTACTTCGCCCTCCGGTCAAGCTGTTAGTCCTAACTACCAACAGCTTATCCGTTGTCATAGATTGTTTCCCTTATTGGGGTTCACCTAACTCTCGTGAAGCATATCAGCAGGAACAGTCTTTGACTATTGCCTGATGTGGTTGCTACTTCCATTTCACTAGCTATTTTTGCCCATCAGTTCTCACGGTCTTCCTTGGGACTTTTCTCGATCAGTGCTACTGACTCATCAGATATTCAGTGCCTCTGTGGGGCTACCGGTTCACATCTACAAGCAACATTCGCTGAGGAATGCCTAATCTGATCCCATTGTTTATCTACATCATCATGCCGAAGCACACTAAGTTCACGCATTAGCTCTGATTCCGTGTGCACGAACTGTTGGAACATACGGGTGCTGATCAGTTAACCGACTTTGCTGGTTTCGTCGAAAGCCAGTAAGTTGGAGAGTGAGCTGCATCAAAACTAATGCACGGTCAGACTCAACGCAGGTGGTCCAATAGGACCTGCATTTTTGTACTGAGCAACACCAATGGTAGCTTACTGTTATGTAGTCGATTTGAGTTGGTGTACCAGTTGAATTATAGCGCCACATTGCGTTCGTTGAGAACTGTCTCGGAAGTTGGTACCGGATAAGGACAGATGATGGGCTGCGCAAAACTGAAGCAGTCGATCGCCGTTACCCGTACACTCGTAGGGCAGAGCACGGTTGCTTAGGTAAGCTTACAATGCGCTCAGTTCTCTAACCTGTCCGCAAGATCACCTGCAAGTACAACTATATCGGAGCTTCGGCTAAATCGAAAGAATCTTGTTTGTCATAGAACTCCACTTTTTGTGCGTCAGAAATGCTGTTGATCGGTGCATACACTGATATGATCAACAAACATCTTTTGGTGGTACTTCGGTTCCAAACGCTGACAGACCGTTGGAGTCACATCGCATATAAACGATTGTTGATGGGGATGTGATTGATAACAAAGAGCTCGACCCTATAATGAAGCGCAACGCTTGCTTCATGCGGATCAGCTGAGCGAGCTTCGTCGTCATGTGATGTTCGGAAGAAGTACCTGGGGGATAATTAAATCGCAGGGTATTACGATTCTGCATTCTCGTCTCTGCTGCGCAGCAAATATCAATCCTCAAGAGACTACTGTACGCACCAGATAAGTTTGTTGACGCACCTACAACAGAGCCAGCACGTTGAAGCCTCCCAGATTCAATGGTTGACGAGGCTTCAGAATCTGCAATTCAACTGCAGGTAAACTAACTTGACAACGAGCTTTGGCGAGTGACAAACAAGTTTGCTGATGGATACCCTCGAATTAAGCAGAACTGAATGTCACCTGGAGCGTCCCCAGTGAAACGTAGACGCTGGTTGGGGGCAGAATGCTGGGGAATAAAGGTAGGATTTCCATCTGAGTCACCACTGAAAACGCTGGTGGTAGTAAAACTTCGTAAAACTCCGTCACAAAGCCAGGGTAGGCCTTGTTCGAAGGTGCACTGTAGTCTTTGCACAACCAAGCGCAAACTACAAGGCAGCAGCATTTTTCCAGAAGATCCGGTGGCCGGTTTGTTGGTTTATTCGCCTCTTCTGAATAACCTTGTCGGGTAGATGGGGACGGTAATGGGTATTGGCCATAATTAGTGACGGGTCACATTCGCCACTTATTTTGTGCGGAGAACCTTTGACAAGAAGAAAACCCGTCATACCGTTCGAGTACTGTCACTGTTCGTCTGCAACCGCTTATGAGGTGAGAGTAAACACACCTTATTCAGGGCTAGACGCAAGTTGGCGGCTGTACCCCTATCCGCACAGTTGGAAAATTGGTGTGACATGCAAAGAGCTCAATTAGTTTGGGGGAGAATAAAACAGCAACTTGAAATGAAACACTACTCACTTGAATTTCGTCGGACTGTAACCAAGATCGAATTTTTCTTTTCTCTTTCGTCTCTTCCGCTGCATCATCCAGATCGACTAAAAGTGGGTTGCGTTTCAATTTGCTCAATGTGAATGCGTCCACCCGGGGGATGGGGGTTTGCAATTGACCTTTGATATTTGTTTTGGTGTGATCCGATTCTGATCGCTTACGCTTAGACAACGGTTCAGCGGAATCACTGTCATCTTCATCCTCTTCCTCATTATCAGACGGCCAGTCATCATCAGTGAGATTCTTGTTTTTCGCACGTTTGATCACAGACGGGAGGACTTCATCTGCACTGTCATCCTCATCCGAATCACTGCTGGCATCCGAACTCAAGTAAATATCGTCGCGCTGACCTGCAAAGAAGAGGCAACCAATGGAAACGTTTACGAAGCCGGTGGCATGACAAAACAGCCCAGTGAAAAAATGAGATTGAACATTTGAAGAAAATGAACAGACAGATGGACAACGCTTATTAGTAATTGATCTCTCTGAAGTGTAGCTCGCTGACGGCAAAATCAGGATGTGGTCGAGATCGAAACCTGATTTCCTGGGACAGGAAAAGAACTATAATCAACAAGTACCTACGTCCCGACCACTCGACCATGATGAGCGAAGCATGGTGTTCTTTTACCACCAGTACCACAGCGTTTTACCTGCGAAACCTGGCTGCAGGTTGGAAAAAAGAGCATAGGGGGTGGTCCATAGGATAAAAACGAAAAAGAACGACTTTAATATTACAAATAACCGGTACAATAACGCAGACAATGAAAAAAAGCAACAAAAACGAAACAACAAAGCACTAAAGAGGAAGCGGCAATCATGAGCCACTGCCGATCGAAAAGTACGCGAGAACATACCCATAATTTGGTCTTCTTCAAATTCACGTTCGGCCTCTTGACCGCGACGTTCAAAGTGCACGCGTTTAGCACCCTCGATAGCGGATCGGCGCTCTTCTTCCCGTTTCTCACGCAATGCGCGAAGTGATGCAGCTTTCTCACGACGAACCAGCTCATCTACGCCGGTCAAACTTGTATCACCCGTGAGACGATTGGCTTCCTCTAACCCGATCAAATCGTGTAATGTGGACAAAGAGAATAGTTCATCATCGCGCTCTTCAATTCGATCTCCAGCATGATCCATTTTCAGCACCAAACGCTCGGCCAACTTGATTTTCGCTTTACGCACACGCTTCAAACGTCTGAGGTTGCGAGATATAGGACCCGGGGAAACATTGAAAACCACTGATAGAACTTTTCATAATTTTTACGAAAGAACAGAAAACTGCATGGAAAACAAACAGTAGTGAGAGGGAAAGTAGTGCTTGAATTCGGGATAATCAGCCATTCGGTGATTAAGCAATCAAAGGATGGAAGAGATTTGGTTACCATCCCACGTAATGGTATCATACAGTATCGTCCACATCGGTGGTAACGTCACCAAATTATTACCCTAGGGATGAGTTCTAATCCCGCCGTCACCGCCCGACTTTCATCGTGGAAATTGTATCTTTATATGTTCAATAAAAGGAAGTCGAATGAACAAGAAATCTGCGGGGAAGGCCCTTGAATGGTATGTTTCCGGGGAAAGTGTTTTGATTAGCGTGGAAAGACAAGCGGCCTAAAACGGGTTAATCGACATGAGGCAGTGTTCTTATCCATCAAAGTTGACACTTTCAATGGACACATTTGGATTCTGTTACTTTTGTTGCTTGTCACGTCACGTCCTGAGGCATAATCCAGGATCGTGGGCAATCACCTACCCACTACAGTAGTTACTTTTATCTGTAATCTGGAAACGCGCCCAGTGGGCAGGCAGTTGAAATCAAGTACGGGAGCACCTCCAGAAATGAAGATAACATGTCGCATATCAACCCCTCGATAATCACGCAATTAGATATGCGATAACATTTCTAAAAAAAGACTATTGGTTCCTTGAAGGTTTAATCCGCCTATCACACCGGCGGCTTCAGACGAAAAATTAGAAGTAACCTTCGTTTGAGATGCGTCGCAAAATAACGATCACCGTTAACCGACTGCTGGTATAATTAGACCAATGGATTCGGAAAAAAGATTTTCCTGGTTATCAATACAAATTCAATTTGATAGCGTGAATGAAATAGACTCTGATAGCTCCCAGTGAAGAGCTTTTAGTTTTACTGAGGAAATTGTTTGACATCATGACAACCATTGAGAATTTGACCTCGTTCGATGATGAAAACGAAGAATCATATTGTTCTGTTTGTCCACCATTTCACCACTGATGAGATTCGTGGGTTATGAAGAGTCGTGATGAAATAACAGCCCGAAATCCGTAGTCGCCCCAATGTTGGAAAAGTGTGAAATAGGGAATTTTTGGAACGCCGGTTATCGGAATTCATGACAGTTTCATTATTTATGCCTTCATACTTGTCTTTATACGAATGCTTTAGCACCTAAATAGGCGATAAATTGAATACAGTTAACTCAATGGTCTCAAGTCTGCGGAATTCCCACAAGCACAGGATAAATAATGGAACGATCCGACGGTAGATGCGTATTCCTTGTAGTTACCATTTCGAACACAGTAATTCACTCTAGGATGTCTTGTTCATTTTTGACCGTAGAGATAAACAGTTAGTCACGTTCTTTTGAGCAATCCAAACATACTACTTACAACACCCTTCCCGGCAATAATAACTTTACATACATTGAGCAATGACGTCCTTTTTTCGAAAAAGTTGGGCGCATATGTCTCCGGTTGAGAATGTCAATTGTCTTATTGCATGCTTTTTGAATATCTGATCAAGAGTTTGATTTGCAAGGACTCCGTGGTGTACGGCTTTTGTCCTCATGCCATCTATCGGATTTACTTTGATAGACACATATGTTGTCCATTCTCTCTTGAAACACGTTCATTGGATTCTTCTTTTATCCGTATTCTGCATGAACTCCGTCATCTAGGGAGCAACTTCTTTGATCCAAGGTGGCCGACACAGCGTACAACATGTTGCTTGTACTATGCTTTCGCTTTCAGAGGTGCACTGGTTTTCCGTTTCATTGGCATTGTTAACTTACTCATTGTATTATGCACTTGAGCAAAATTTTGCCTGTCAGTCGTGTTAGCAATTTGCCGCACTGTCAACTTGCGTCTCGTCTTCGCCAACTGTCTTCACAGCCGTATTCGAGGCTTCTACTGACTCAGTTGACTGGAGTCCCGCTAAAGACACTGTAGCACATGTATCAAAAAATCATGACAATCTCTGAACCCCCGTCTCCATATAGGTCTGGAATGAATGACGATCGTCCTCTCCGAAGAGCCGTGTTCGCGGGCGATTTGAACGAGATCAAGGGTTCTCACACGGACCGGTTGAGCTGTGTATCGTGACAGTTTTTCGGCCAGTAATCCGGCCCTTCGTGCTCAAAATTCTCCTTTTCTTGACGGCTCTCTGGCTGTAAACTGTTCGAAAGGCCGCCATTTCCTCCCTTGGTTTTTCGAGCTGCCATAATTTCTGTAAGCCAGTGTCTAGGGCCTTTGGTTGATTGGACAGATGTGACTTCCTTCAAGGTGAACTCTCACAAGACAACTCCCAGTTAGAATACATCCATGACCCTCTCAGTATTAATTATCTGCGCCGTCTCCTGAACGTTTTCCGGCAGGCTCCCCATGAAACGATCCAGCGGTAATTCTAAACGCGGCATTCCCAAACGTCGGGAGCGCCCGATCCAAAGAGGCACGCAGGGCCAAGGCACGCGACAGAAGTTNNGAAGTTTCGCGCCAACTTCGAGCTGCGTCGTTCCGAATCTCCGCAGAGCCACCTGGCTGTCGAATCCCGAGACCAAGGGTTCCTTTGTGGCAGCCCAGTTCATCTTCTCCGGGCCTCTTTTCGCATTTTTTGTCGTTACCATTTTGAGCAAAGGAAGTTGCTCCAGGAGTTATTGTTCATTTTTGAGAAACAGCCAATTACTCTCTTTTGCGCAATCCAGACGCACTAATCACAACAGCAGTAGTGACATTCCAACAGTTAGAAGCCGGTTGATAATTCGGAGCACAGAAATTTTATGACATACGGGGTAAATAAACAGCCAGATACACAAAAACCTCATCTGATGCCACATGCGCTTTTTTTATTTTTGGTGTCAGACAAAATGGGTGTTAGTACATACCAAACTGGTGTTGGTATAGCGAAAGTGTGTACGCATTTTGTGGCGATTTGGGTGTAATGTGGTAGCAACCGGGTTTCTCATAGAGTAGCGTCGAAAAAAGCAATCGAAAATCACATGAGAATAAATAGAATTTTGGGATAATAACATGTTCCCGTGGACGTCGAACGCACATTCGTTTTTACAATACTGATCGTACCAAAAGCCAACCGTTGCCAATGATAATGTGGGTGAGCATGAGTGAACACATTTAGCCCTAGGCCCGAACAAAGGTCAAGATCTGTTCTATATTCGCGTTTTGTTTGCTGAGTAAATTTCTGCCTTTGGGAGGTGGTAAACGGATATTAGAACCAGTCGTTACCACGAGACTGATGGTGATAAAGCGAAGAAGGTAATTTGTGAACTTTACTCTATAGTTGGTCAATGACCATCGCATTTATACTTATAGTGCTAACTGAAAGTAAGTAGTATAATTTAATATGATATTATTATATTCACATTACTCGGTGAACCGGCAAATCAAAGAACTACATTCAGAAAACAGTATTGCAGAAAAAGCTGAGAAAGTGAACTGAGGAATGGGTCATAAAAAATCTTCAAACATGTCCAAACAGTTAAGAAACCCGATGACGCAATGTAATTCCACGGTGTACCGGTATCCTCAACTGGGAAACATGTCACGTCAACAAATCATCAAATCAAATTGAAGCACGCAAGAAAAAAGAAAAAATGATGGCATTTTATGAGCAATTATGGGTGTACGAAAACAATAGAAGTGTAATGTCAGCCCGCATCAACTTACGCCATAATGCTAACACTNCTAACACTACCTCTATCCACATACAACTTCTTTTATTACCCGAAATTCAACCCGACCATCTTCCCCTCTGTGGATTCCATGATATATAGATCAATACAATTCATAACAGAAATTGAGAAACGCATATAATATGGCTGAATCTTACAACGTTTATCCTGTCAGGTGATGATGAACTGGATGATGGAAACTCAGTTCAAAAACAAAGAAATATGCGTGTATTAGAATTTTAACTCTGGTTACTTCACGAAATAAGGACGGTTAAAACAATTACTTCTTTTTCTCCTTTTCCTCTTCGTGTATAAGCCGTTGAACCTCTTCTTCAACTTCGAGATCCGAAGCATCCTCGGGGGTGGCGTCCTTACCTTCGAGATCTGTGACCGACTGTGATGGGGGTTCCGTTCTGCCGTCCGCATATTTATCCCAAACACAGATAATGCAGGAAGGGGGAACAAGCAAGAAAAGAGTATACAGAGTATTTGTATAGATAGTTTTAGTGCAAATCTCGTCGTAAATGCTCGATACAGAAAATTGTAAGGATCAGTGACAAAGTCGATTGACACAAACTCAGTTAAATTATAATAAATTCTTGATAGTCAGTCATGCAGTGGGAATAAATCACTACAGAACCTGCAACTGAACGCTATTCTACACTTTTCCAACATCAAGTGAAACCGTTGTAAGTTCAGGTGAGTCCGACGTAACTTCAAGTGAATCCAACCAATCGCATTTCTACTCAGAACCCCACAAAGTGATTGGTGCTTCAGCCGTCATATATCACCCATTGGACAGGGTCTATCAAAATCCCGTCCAGTCGGAATGAACTGATTTCTCCATTGACAAACGAAAGTAATTTTTGATTGAGTTACCGAGCGAGGATAAAAGTTTCGACGATGATAATCATCAAACTTGAATTTCGCTTGCTGATGCAATGACATCACGGTTATCATTAATAAATTCATTGACCAATCAAACGGAGGATTTCAAACAATGCTTTGCCACTAACCGATACGTTTTATTACATTACAGAAATGGCATTCAGCCTCATTCGTCGCGGTTGATAGTATTTCCCGCGAAACATTGTTCCCAATCATTGCCTTGAATTAGTAATAGCATGTTCGCAAAATGTACGCCTTGTGACGCTGATTCGAAATTCGCGAAGGAAACATACATCCGGGGTTCGAATACACGAATGAGTAGATGAAGGATACGAGGATAATTGTACTGCGACTTGTTTGGCACAGTTTGGATACAAACGCGTGTGAAATACAATACACCAAATGCCCGGAGATTGATTGAATGGCGCGAGGTTCTGAATTCGATCCGCAGTTAGGTCAACGGATTCGCACTGCTGATCAACCCCAACAGAGTGGATAAGCCATAAAATGCTCCTCGGTCTTTTAGCTCACGAAAATAACGTCACAGTCGAGTTGCCTTCTCCATCACCTCCATGTGAAAATCAATAATGCAACTTAGTCACTGTTAACTTGGTTCATTTGTCTGTCCTGAAGGTAACTCACCACGGTCATTATCGATGTCCATGCATCAAAAGGAAAAACAATGTGAACATGTTTGTGAACCAAAACTATCTAAAGAACAATCTGAAGTGATGACCTCTATATTGTTTAACTACTGTTCGTATATCGACGGGTAAAACCGAGATGGCGAATTGAGCCTCCAATAATGATTATTTGGAAGATCTGCAGATGACGATATAATATGGCGATCACTACGGGACCAATTCGCGAAGCCGGAGCGATGAATAACCAGCCCTACGGCGCAAGACCTGGGGCTTTAGAAAGCGCAAGTAATTTTGGAAGTCACTCAGAATGGAGCTTGCATCAATCCAACCATGTCGTGCACTTGTGACTCTCTCTCTCCGATATATGTATGCATTCGAATTTCCTCAGTCACCAAGCTTATAATTTAACTATCACAGAAGTAAAACACATAAACAAGGTTACCGATCGTCCGAAATGAGCGGAAGTAACAACAGTAGCAAAAGAGGAACAAAAGTATGAAAAAACGAACTTACGGCGTGGTGTCACCTTGAAGTGCCTGAAGAATCTTCTTCCTCCATTTTAAAATATTTCTAGAATGGAATACAAAGCCAAGAATGATCATTAAAATGAGAACCCAAAGCTTCCTGAAGGCCAGATTTGAATTGGCCAATGTGCCCCAACATACGAAGAAAGAAGTGTGAAAACGGTTCAAATATTAATCAACAAATAAGAGTCGCGCAACCGGTGCGAAATTGACGCTGGTTATCAGCTACGTTGGCTAGTGTCTTAATTCACAGTTGTCGGATGACCTTGGGATCCCAACTTGGGGGCCTAGAGCTTCCGACCACAGTAAAAGCAGTAAGTAAGAAGATAAGTGGGGGGGGACATTCAAACGAGAATCAATTTGTTAATCCTGCATTTGAAAAGATTAAGATTAAACTTGTTCAGGGCACGAAGATGGGAAGTCTGTTACACAGTTTCGCAATTCCCTGAG